GAATAACTTAAAATTCAGGAAGGGTGTCCAAAGAAAATAAGGAAGATGTTATGAAACTAATTTCTACAAACACAGAATTTGCTGAGATTGCAGTCAGGAGTTTAGCCTAGACACCCAAATTAAAGCACTTCTTAAGGTTTTCTTGTGCAGTCTCTGATGCTTGTAATAGCCCTACTATTAATAGCTAATAAGTATGTTTCACCCAACAGTGTAGTGGCTCTTGAAATTCAGATCTGTGGTATAACCACTATGGCATCTGAACCATCACAATTATTTAAAAACTAACCTACATTCTTCACTCAGCAAAGCCAACCCATGGGAGTTGCATTCTTTTTGATTCTCCTCTCTGTCCCTCTGGGAGTAGGGGGAGGGAAAGAAGGGGGGGGAGTGAGTGAACGAGTTACCTGGCTGGGTTTAAACCATGACATCATGTTAAAAATTCTTATTTGCAAGTATGTGTGTACACATATGTATGTATATAATTATAAATATATTTTTATCATAAGTTATCATTTATATTCTTTGTAAGCCCACTTAAAAAAGATTTATTATGGAGGAAACTGTATTATCATTACAATATTCATAGCTATTAGCTTATAGTTGGTACTTGCTCACCAAATACTGCAAAAATATATCAAAACTTAACAATATATGAAAAATCGTGTGAGTAAATGTCTTGACCAGATACTGGAGGACTCTGGCTGTATCACATAGAATCATAGAATAGTTAGGGTTGGAAAGGACCTTAAGATCATCAAGTTCCAACCCCCCTGCCATGGGCAGGGACACCTCACACTAGACCATGTCACCCAAGGCTCTGTCCAACCTGCCCTTGAACACCACCAGGGATGGAGCATTCACAACCTCCCTGGGCAACCCATTCCAGTGCCTCACCACCCTTACAGTAAAAAACTTCTTCCTTATATCCAATCTAAACTTCCCCTGTTCAAGTTTGAACCCGTTACCCCTTGCCCTGTCACTACAGTCCCTAATGAAGAGTCCCTCCCCAGCATCCCTATAGCCCCCCTTCAGATACTGGAAGGCTGTCATGAGGTCTCCATGCAGCCTTCTCTTCTCCAGGCTGAACATCCCAAGCTTTTTCAGTCTATCTTCATACAGGAAGTGCTCCAGTCCCCTAATCATCATAGAGGAAAAGGGCACATACAACCTCCCCACCTTGCTCCTCAAGGAAAAGCACCATTATGTGGGCTGGCTGTAACAGATCTTACTCCATTTGCTGAAAAATAACAGTAGTCCTAATGGCCACTAATGGAGAAATTTAAATAAACAAGCAAACATAGACATTTTTCTAGTTTTGTTACTGACCAAGACCAAGTTATGCAAAAATGTAGTAAAAATAATGAAAAATACTTTAAAAAATGAAACTCAATTTCCAGTTCACTTTAATCCACCTTTGCATGAAACTGCTTTTTCTCTTCTTCCTTTTTAACCCCTTCTTACTTAGTAGCTACTGTATTCAGTAGTTTTGCAACTAACAGGTAACTGTAGCTACAAGTCTGAAGGCCTCAGTTTTTTAGGGATAAAAAGAGCCCACATCATTCAGAAAACAATTTCAAATTCTCTGTATCTGAAGTTAGCACTGAGATACCAGCCATAACATTTACGAGACAGCTGTCAGTTTTCAGGCTTTTTTTCTTTACTTTTTACTTCTGCTTGCAGAGTACAAGTGAGTTTTTTAATAGTGTTATAGTCTGGTTTAGAAAGACACATTGCTGATGAGGAATTGTTATTTCTCCTTGTATGTAGCTCTTGCGAGGATACCATCACTTGTCTGTTGAACAAGTGATAAGGGACTGCTGAGGAATGTGTTTTCACTCTGTGAATTCCAATGTGCCCATCCCAGTAGCACCCAGCCAGCAGGTGGGACTTGGTAAAGTTTTACTATCACTTGTAAATTAATAGCTCTCGATTTAGCTTTTGAAAGTGAAACTACAATTCCCAGGCAGGAGAACAAACAAACAAACAAACCCAAACAAAAAACCCAGTACTCTAGTGTCAGGTTATTGTGTGTTTCTGAAGGTTGTGCACAATGAAAATGCAGCTAGGAAGAAATTTAGCACATTGGGTACAATCAGTATACTCAGGTAGATGAAAGCAAAGGTACCTCTTAGTTAAGTTTTACACCTTAGCTGATAACAAAGAGGTCATGAGCATAGAAGATCAACAGGGATTCAAAGAGGTTATCTGGTTTACACTACATAGAGTATCCTGCCAAGGATTGTTCTTAAGAAGCAATGAAGAAGATCAGACCTTAGTCCCATCCCTTCTAACTTCTACCTGTTGTGTCAATCCTGCACCCCATGCTCCACTCCTAGCATTCTCTTTACTATAGTTAGATTTTCTCTGAATTTATAATCTCCAGATTTTACTTAAGATATTTTCATGTCTCTGCTTTGATGCAAAGGAACAAGAAAGATCCAAAGTTATGCTTCAGGTAGTTTCCCAACCCTGAAAAGGTTCATGATTTAACTAGCAAACTGAGCTTAAAAGAATGAAATTAGTAGCAAGGCTCTAGGGATCATCAACAGTTAAAATATCATATAAAAGAGGCAATAACCCATGATTTCTGATTTATGTTTCTGTCATACTACCTTGAATTTCTGGCAGGTCCTTCTTCCACCTCTGTCACATTTGGATGTGCTGATTTTTAAAGTAAGTTTTCCCAATGGACTACATTTTAATAAAAAGGGAAAATTTAATATTTGGAAAGCTATTAAATACCATTTCAATATTCTCTCTAGTGTCTATATAGATTAATTTCAGAAAACTGAATAAAACTATTTTATTAAATATTAAATTAAAGTACCATGCAAATATCAATAAATCTGCAAAGATCACGGGAAAGAGTAAATGTATCATACTAATAGGAAATTTGGTGACAGTCACTCCTAAAATAACTAGACATTTGTCCATCATCAATGAAAATTGCATTCCTAATTGTGCAAGAGCCATCATGTTCCTTCATCTAACTTCAGCTTCAGCTCACTCATTTAAATAATAGTTTTCTTACACAGATAAAGCAATATTGACTAAGCTTGGGTTGTGAAGGAATTTAAATGAGCTAACAGCCCTGATGCATTTCATAATCACCTTTAAAACCAATAAGTTTCTCTACTTATAATATTCCAGGATACATTAGTTTATTTTCTACATTTTCTTTTTTTTCAAATCCGTCTCTTAAAAAATACAGTGTTTTGCCTGTGGGTAAAGAAAATGAGCAATTTACTGAGTTGTTTAAATGAAAATCCAGAAACTTCCCTGTCTACATGGTAGGCTGTTACATGAGCACAAAAGATCAGCTTGCATTATACTTACATGACTGCTGACAAATATGCACAATATTAGCTACCTTATTTCTAGAAGTCACTCCAACACAGGCCTGATAAGTTCTTAAATCTTTGTAGAAGCTTTAAAAACTGGTGCTGGCAGATTGGAGTCTGTGAAAGACTTATATGCAAATTACATTCTGCTACATGTAAATTTATGAACGCTCCACGAGTGATTGGTTAAGGGGGTTATTTTTATTATTATTATTGAAATTTTATTTTTTTCTAATGCTTAATCAGGGCCTGAAACCACAGTTATTTTTTTTTGGGGGGGGGAGGGGATGTCACTCTTTCTTTTAAATCCAATCATCAATTCATCACTACAAGTACATTTGCATTTTTGATAAAAATAGATATGAGAACTGCAATGAAGCTGTTAAAAAACTGGGTTGCATATATAATGTGAATCTTTCAGTTCATAGTTTATAGCTTTCTTTTTTCTGTGTTTTCTAAAAATGATCTCTGAATAGCTCAAGATGGCACATCATTGCTTTCTCAAATAGTCAGGACTGTTCTTCAGTCCAAAAAAAGCCCCAGCTCCAAAGGGTAGACATTTTCCCTTCATACAGTGCTTTCCACAATAAAATTGTTTTTTGTTGATAGGTATTGTGGCTAAATATATAGCAATGCAAATATTTCCAGCCTATTCTTGTGAATGTCAAGAAACTGTGGAAGTGGACTACTCAAATAGATAAACTGTTTGTTCAGAAGTATGTACCCACCAACAGTCTCTTCTTCACTGCCCTAGTGGAAGATGAAAGGACATCTCCAAACCCAAGAACGTAGGAAAGCCAGAAATTTTTCAGTGCCAAATTAAGACAGCATTTTAATGCTTCTTAAATAAATAAACAAGCAAACAATTATAATTAAGTATCTAGTCTTTTTCACACATTTATGATACCCCTTGACAGCTATATTTTATTTTTTGCCCCTGACACCCCCAAAGTACCACTGAAACTTAAAATTCTTTGGAATAGTCAATTTTGTAAACTTTGTACATTAGCTGGTGATCAAAATTCCCCCAAATTATGTTTATATACTTCCAAAACACAGAATTAGGGTGTTCTTGTTGATCTTAAAGAAAATATATGCATAATAAAGTCATTCTTTTCCCAATTATATGAAGGTATATTCATACACATCTGTATGTGGCATAGGCATGGGAAATGAATGCAGGGAACTCTGATTATGTTCAGCCTCTCGGCACTTTTCGTTTATATGATCTTGTTCTCTGATGCTTTCAGTCCTGCCAGACTTTAACTACTCAGCTGGTATTTTCCACACAGGGCATTTGCATCGGGGGATTTTCCCCCTCTTTGTTTCTACTGTTATTGATATTAGTTGTTGTTATTATCCCATTGTTTGTAAGCTTTTGGGCTTAGCCCTGTTTAAAAATATGGGAAATGTTCTTGTGCCTGTGTGCCTTGAAGAACTCAGTAGAGATGGAAAAGAGCTAAGGGAATGTTCTCCCTGAGAGACATGCCTCTTGCTCTCTCTATGAAAATACACCCACATTGGGGTGCTTGGAGCTGCCTATATTTTGAAGGTCAGACTGGAACAACAAAGAACCAGTTTGATGCCAAGCAACTGGAAACAAAAGCTCAGAGGTCAGGAAGGGGAGTGTGAAGTGGGAAAGGGGGAATGTAAAGTGTAAAGTGGGAGAAGTAAAAAAAAAAAAAAAGTCTGTTTGGAGAGGATTAGGATTGACTAGACCAAGATTGGGTCCTAGGATGAGAAGCAGTAGGGATGCAAAGCTGTTAGGAAAGGAGTGAGCCCAGGGAAATGTGGCTTGAGTGGGTTTGAGTGAGACTGTGACAAGAAAGTTGCTTTTCAAAATGGGAAAATGCTGGGATAGACAGAAAAAAAACAACAGCATGGGGTACAACACTTGCTCTGTGCTCAAGACAAACTCTCAATGAACAGCAATTCAGTCTATTAGTCCTCATTTTCTGAAGAGCCTGGTCCTAATCTGCCACACAGCATTGATTATGGGAGCATGCATTTCCAGCAGGATCCCTTAACAGTTACCTATTCGTTATCTGACTCACAGATAATGAAATTCTTTTCATACAGTGATCTATAAGGTGAAAAAATTGTGTTTAGAGAAATTCATTTACAAAAATAAAACAAAGACCTAGGGATTAAGGTCACAAGTATTGTCAAAACTGGAGCAAACAATCTGAAGCACAAAGAAGTTACTTTTTTCTTTATTTCTTTACAGAGAAATCCATCCTATGCATACTCGCATGCACTTCAGATACTGTTGCAAGAGCTCAGCAATTCAGCAAGTCACGCACAACTATCAGAAGATCTAGCATGTATCATTAGAAAGTTTGGTTTAAGTAATTACCTAGCATCGAGTTTTGTGGCAGAGAAAAGGATGCACTCCAACTCCTAAATATAATGAAACAGACACCAAACAAGCAGAAATTGTAAGCAGTTCATAACCAGATCAAGCCCATGAGCTTGCCAAAGGCAGACTGCACCTCAGGAAAAGGTAGGTGATAAGTTTAGCACAGTCAAGCTTGGAAGAAAATAATTTCTTTTTCGAAAAGGAATTGCAAGGATCCATGCTAATTCTATGCATGATATGTGCTGTGCTGTATCACTCAAAGGAAAGGCAAAAATACCATTACCCAAAATGACAAATTAAATGAGATATAGCTGCTTAAACTGTTATGAAATGTATGCTTAACTTACAGCTATTACAGGTGCAGTGGCATCGGTGGCTACATTTACATGTAAATAAGAAGGCCTTAAAGCTGGTTTTAAAAAGTAATGCTGGGACTGTGGGTACTTAAATGAGTAAGCATTATTGTAGTGGACTGAGTTATGGAAATTTTTCTTCAGTCACAACTTTGATTGACAAATTAAGTTTTCTGTGTGACTTAGAATTTTGACACACGATGCTCATGCTAGGTACAAATATGACAAGTTTAGAGGAGAGCTGCCTGTGAAAATGTAGAAACTGAAGATATTACTACTCCTCTTTAATTACTTAATAATGACCTTTTTTCCACTTTTGCTTTATTATAGGAGTCAGAAGTATGTAGCATATAGATTGTCCCCCACCCTCAAGGCCCCTCTGCATACCTCCCTCTACCCAAGGCCTGCCAACCAGGGTATTGCCCTTAGGAGCTGAGGATGTGGGATCTCATCAGAATGAAGCTTCTTACCATCACTTACTACCTGCAGGTCGGAGGGGTGACAAGTCTCCGTGATTGTTATGCCATTGGAGGTGGCTTTGGAATGAACATAGGAGGCAGAAGAAACAGAAATGGGTGAGTATGAGAAAAGGCTTTTCTACTGAACATTTCACTGTCTTATTTTATATATATATATATTTTTTTTTCCATTTAATTTTAACAGCATTTCCCAATTTAGCTAGCATTCAAAGCTAATTCACTGGGTGTTCTCGCTTACACATGACTAGCTACAAATGAGGTATATTGTTGCAAATATGCTTTTGGATAGGATTCCCTGATAAACTTTGAAACAAGACCTGTGGCATAAATAGTATCAAATGCAGTTTTCAACCTCAAATGGGGGCATATTTTGAATTCCTGCTTTGTTTTAATTTTGTGCTCATTAGGATAAATTCTAACTGAGTTTAAGCTGATGTAGAAAATGCACCATTAGAAGGATTGGCATGAGACCTGAGAAACCCACTGCTTTCACTGCAGTTCCCATTTTGGAATTCATTTCCCATTTTCACTTGGTCAGAAATCATTCGATTTTCAGAACTTTTGGCTACATTAGAGTTATGCAGCTAAAAACACAGAGCAGGTGTATCTTTATAGTCCATAAAGAAAGTGAACTGATACTGTGAAATGCAATGTGAATACTTCTAAAGCCAAAGGTGGTTTTTAGTTGTATCTATATAATATGAACTGAAAAGGCAAAATTATTTACCTTTATCACATCCTGCAGTTTTCACATGACATCAGAAAGGGAGTAAGCTATTTTAATTGTATCTGTGATATCTGTGAACATTTATATTGTCTTTTGTTTAACCCTGAATTTCATGTGTCAAAATGGCTGGTTTGGAAATGCTGCTGTTACCCTTTCAAGTTTCTTCAGTATTACATTCCTCCTAACATTTTTGTCCAGAAATAATAGTGTGCAATTCCTAGCAGCCAGGATGCAGAGGATTCTAGAGATACTTTATACATACATAATGCATTTCTCTACATTCTTAGCAGATCATATTTCCATAGGCAGCTGCAATTAATTCAAAGCAACTGTAAAGTGAAGAAAAAAACACAAACACACAACAGACCCTTCTATCCTCAGGGCTTTCTTGTCCAGGTAGATACAACCATTATAGACCAGAACTTGTGTGGTTTATAGCAGCTGTTAAGAATGCAGAATTGACAAGCAAGTGAGCAGATATACTACAAAACAAATACTATCAACAAAATTACAGGCAAGAAGGTCCCTTCAATTCACAGACAAACCTATCCTGAATTGGTGGTTTCAGTGTATGTTTAGCTCAGGCCACATGTCCTGGTGAACAGAAAGCATCTCCTATTCAACATTGTGTCAGCTACACTGGATTCTTCCAATCAAAAGAAAAACAAAAACAAACAAAAAAAACCACCACAAAACAAAACAACAAAACAGCAAGAACTTTCACAGAAAGTCTATAATGGAAGGAAAGTAATTAATCAATCCATTTTCTATGCTGAATAGCACAGGGAGTGTTGCTACTAAACTAATGGCAGTAGAATGGGCTTCAGTATGTTCTTCACATGTGCAACTGGATTACAATCACTGTCTAGCTGCAGATGAGGGCATGGGTCCTCCAGACTCATAGAAGGAATTTTCCTGAATTGAATATTGGTATTTAACTGGGAAATCATGTGAAGAAGTGTTTTGGCCCTTAATTGCATTTGGAGATCCATCTATAGACAAGTGCAACACAGTGAAAATCATAAGCACAAAACCAGACCAATACATCTTGTGACATAATGTAGGTTAACTGTTGAATACTGTTGCTAAAATTAGTGGCTTTGTGTTAGAAGTTTAATATTGCACAGTCTGCCATGTATTTCAGCACATGCAATTATATATCTTAAACACTTCATCTGTAGCTGCACCTGATTAACTATAGCCATATCAGAAAATATATGGATAGTACAGGTGACTAATGCTTTTTACAAGGTAATATTGATAATATTCACCTCATGATCCTGCAGCTGAGTTTAATGCTCTTTTCCCCGTTTGCACATGCAATCTGTCCTGCTGGCAGAGTGCAGTCCTGCCCTTTTTGAAACACAAACCCAAAGGCAGTTTACTTCCTGGGTTTTTCAAACTTTTTCAGGGACTTTGCAGCAGTCTCACAGATAACCTCACCTCCTGAGGGCACTGTCATAACATCCTCTGGCAACTACTGCAGTGGCTTACACTGAGAAATAGCATTAGGCTTGATCAGCACTGTATATTTTGAAACATGAGGCCAGTGGGGAGCAGTGGGTGAAAGCCAGAGGCACATTAAAAATTCAGTAATATGAACACAAACTAAGTTAGAGAACTCCAGCAGGGATTCACAGAATTCTTTGGATCGAGTCCTTAAATGTAAACTTTATGTTATAAACTGCTCTGCAGTTGTTAATGAGGACATTTAGCATCCCATGACCAGCCACTCTCCACAGACTGTTGCAGCAGATAGCACTGATAAAGAAACTCTGATTGCAAATAGAATCAAAATGGTTAACAGACCGTGATTTCAAACCAGTAAATAATACTATAAGACTGTGATGCTAATAATAATAATAATAATGTAAATGCTAGCAAGTATTTGTATGGTATTTTGCAAAACCTTTACATTCCTGTTTGCATGATCCTTGCAGCATAGTAGTTATATCAGTGTATCTTATATTTGTGTACCTAAAATTATAAAATGCTCATCATAAAACAGTTACACCAAACCACCTAGTTCTCTTCAACAAAGTTTGGTCTGAATCTCTTGATTTTATTACCACAGTAACATAATGCAGATTTTACACTTTCACCAGAGTTCCAGCCTCTCCTTTACACAAGGATTTTTTTTTTCTTTGTTAAGTTTTGAATACTGTGTGAAAATGAAGAATATAAATATAGCACTGAGTTGACTAATTAATTCCAGATAGCATAGTAACTTGAGAGTATGTTGTCTAAGAAAAACAGTTTGCTAAATCACATTACTGAATAATCTAAAATTCAAGATTTTTGTATAATCATATTTTTGTGCCCTTTCAAATTCCTTTGTTATCACAGCTAAAGCTGTAAAACCTTCTGCCTCTCTTACCTCTAAAGAACAGTCTCCACTCATATACAGGAAATTCAGAAGTGCAGCAAATTGTATTTTAAGAAGATAAATTATCTAAAATCCAAATATTTCAAAAACATTATTATTTAGGTATAATAGGCTTTTCTTTAATAACATGAAAGAGTCAAAGCTGAATACAAACCAATCTTTAAATTCTTTTTTGCGTAGCATTTCTGCAAGTCTATTTTGAATTAAAACCCATATTTTAAATATGCTCTCTTGTCCAATTTTAACATGAATACAGAAACACTTAATTAGATGTCATGAGATCATGCTGTTTTATATAACTATGTGCTATAAACATGCATTTTCCACAAAAGAAATACAATACAGTCATATAAATTACAATAAATACTGCTTACCTTCCTTCCTTAGAAACTATTCCCTGAAGGCAGAGTAAATCTGGTTATAAAATGAAAAACAAGCCTGAACTGTACAACTCACACACATACACACAGCAGATACAGTCATCTCCATGAAGAATGCCTGTTTCTAGCCTTCTCTACACGTTTCTCAATTCTCCACATCATAGTTACGCTACAAGGGCTCAAACTGTGCTTAAAATACTATTCTCCAGCGCAGCTATAGGCACCAACACATTGCATAAATGGTACTTACTGTTCCAGAAGTCACGCTTCATCCTATAGGAAATTTACACCTCCAAACCAGGGATTTGTTACAAGTGAGCAGATTGTGGCAAAACACTGTGCCTGGCTTGTCAGAAAAAGTTGCTACTTTCAGTGATCGGCACATATTCACAAAGCACAGTATCTTTATGTCTATGTATGTGCATGCGTACCTACATATGCACGTCTACAGAAGTTGCAGTCTGTCTCACAACCACATGCTAACTGCTGAATAGGGGAAAAAAATCTTGTTAGTATCCCACATGATCATTTTACTTCGCTGTGGCTTTTTGCATAATTTTTTCATGTAATACAACCAAGGCCGGTGATGCTAGAAAGCATTTCTAACTCAGACACGAGTAACTATTAACATAAGGCACCGAACTCATTTTGGCTTCCCCTGCAAGAGCACTGCCACTGCAGCAGCAGTGCAGGGTCTCTCTGCTGGTACTCATTTGCTGCAGTCTTTGTGCATGAGTATACATTATAAACAAATTAGTAACACAATGACATCCAGTACCCAAGAGCTAAAGAAATCATGGAGAATCAATCAGATCTTACAGCAGGCATGCAGATTGGCTGTAAAAACATTTAACAGCAGATAGATTTTTCCTGTACTGTCAAAGTTAAAGGTGCCAAAAGAAAGCACACACTAAGGCATTTTTGTTCCACTGTGATATTGATCCAATGCCAGACGTAGTGAAACACAATGAGCACACAGTCAGCCTTGGTAAATTAGGTAAATTAGAGATCATTTGATGGTATTCTATTGTTGCTATTGTAATCACAGTAATTTTCACTGGTAATGGTGCTTCATGATGAAGTGCGGTTCTCACAGGATAATTGTGAAAGGTATCGAAAGATTCAGGGTGTAGCATCTGGTTTTAAAAGCTCTTCAGATTCAAATTGGCATTTTACTTTATCTTGAAAATTTATTAGAGATTCAGATCATGCCGTTTTAAATGGAAAGGTGAAAGCAGGGTAATTTCAATCTATGAATTATTCAGATTCAGACTGGTGAAATTGCCATCCATGAACTGATTCTCTGACAGTCTCTTTTGCAGAGCCTCCATTACGCTTGTCATTTTTATTTCTTTATCTACAATATCATTCTCAGTTACTGAGCTCGTCCCTTAGGGCTGTGCTTCACAAACCAAGTATTTCAAATTGGCAATAACCTAAATGTGTTGCTGTCTCAAATCGCAGTCTCCACAGGCTGTCTTTTCCAAAGCATTAAAACCCACATCCACGATGGTGTCTGTTAGGCTCTTCGATTAGATGAATTTGAAACAAAAATACCCAGCAACAATAGAACAGCAAAGAGAAGAGACCAGGGTGTCATATC